CCCCCCCTTTTTTTTTTTTTTTTTGACGATTGGAACCACATCAGCTCTTTTCCTCTGGCAATGCCCCCATGTTCGAGGAGCCCTGAAAGATTTTGTTCAGTGGTCCCAAGAGTAAACTGAAACTGAGTCCTTTGTTTATTGGATGTTCTTCCTATTTCCCCTCAAAATAAAGTATATTAGATACATTTTGAGATGATTTTTGCTTTGAACGTGTAAATTTATGTTTCTTGAAATAGTAAGGTGATTTCAAGACACTATCTACAGCAGGGGTGTCAAACTCAATTTCATTGAGGGCCGCATCAGCATTGCGGTTGCCCTCGGGGGGGGCGAGTGGGTGTGGCCGTGGTGGGTGCGGCCTACTGGATGGGTGTGGATGGAGTGGGTGTGACCTACTGGGAGGGCATGGCCAGTTCTACATCGTTCACGTCAAGGGTGCCTGTGGGGGCCTGGGCAGGAGTGGGACAGATCTGAGGGTCTCTGGCAGAAGGGGGTGGGACCGGGGCAAGCACCAAGGCATGGTCCATTTCTTCATTCCTCACAAAGGGTGACACCTCCCCAGCATGCAGGGGCTGGTTCCTCGCTGTTTCTAGACGGCCTTGTGAAGCTGAGACTGAATGCGTTTCAGTATAGATGGCCACCACAAAATTGTACATTGGCTCCCGGCCGGCCTGGGCCAGGGCCAAGGCAGCAGGGGCCGTTCCCTCGCTGTTTCCAGGATGGTTTCGCGGGCCACATGAAACCACTTCGCGGGCCGCATCTGGCCCCCGGGCCTTGTGTTTTGACATGTCTGATCTACACAGTATCTTTAAATAGTAAGGAAGTCATTAAGATTATGTCGGAAGTCACATTAGAAAAATAATCCGTCTCATAGGCTAGGAAATAGTTTGGAAAAGTTTGTTCTAAAATTTTGGAGAATCAGAAGAACTCAAAATGTACCGTATTTTCTGGTGTATAAAACGACTTTCTAAACCCTGAAAATCTTCTCAAAAGTCGGGGGTTGTCTTATACGCCCAGTCGTCTTATACGCCGGAAAATACGGGTATTCTATTTTATTCCTTTACACATGTGGTTTGGCATATTACTCATCAAGTTTTCTCTCCCCCCTCTCTCTCACTCAAACTCTATATTTTAACTGGAAAAGTTGGGGGTCATCTTATACGCCCAGTCGTCTTATGCGCCGGAAAATACGGTACTCATAAAAAAAATTAAAGGAGAAATTGCCAGGAATGTACCAAATTATTCAAAATAATTGCAGGGGCCCATTATGGGTCCTCCAGGAGTATTTTAATTATGAAGGGCTGCCATTAGCTACCAGACCCTCTCAGCATGGATGGAAAGGGTTAGTCAAAGTTGAATGCACCGAAGGGAGATTATTTTATATTCAGAGGAATCGAGAGAGCTTTGGCACTGGCGAGAAGAAAACCGAAACTGATCAACTTTTAATGTGACTACAGTGAACATTGCAAACATGTTTGAGTTAGCCCAGCATGTTGAGAGAGAAGATGCTGTGCTCATTCTGTATCGAGGGTTGAGAAGCACATTTTTCTCTTTTGCTGTAAGTGGAGAGTTATCTCGGAGCTGTTTTTCCCTTTTGGTTTTTTCCTTGGGAATCTTGCTCTGAGTTGAGCTCGCTGGCGTAATCTTACCATGGCCTTGTTGACTTTGGTGTTTGGAATGGAGCAGGTCAACTCAACTATGAAAGGCTAATGCTGCCGGTGATGCCGTCTCCTGCTGCTGCTTCCGTTGGCAGTAGAAACACCGGTCTTTCCTGGCATTTCTGATGTTCTGGTCCCAGAGGTTTCTAGCAGCCTTATTGTGTCAGATGTGTTCTATTCTGCTGGAAAAAAATAGCACTGATTAACACCTGAGCTGTGCACAAGAGACTGTTATAGGAATATTAACAACTATGCACCGGCTCAGAGAACTGCTTTGCTTTTGCTGCAGACTAGCTTGTTAAAAAGCCTTTGGGAGTGTCAAGTAACTTGGGGATTAACAGTCAAGTATAGAAACTACTTGTACCCAGATCCAGGCCAGGTTTGCAGAAATGAGTCGTTGTCCCCTCTTAAGGAGTCCGCCTTTTCTGAATTTGTGAATGTTCATCACCAACTTTTTCCTTGCAAGTAAGCAGCCCGGAAGTGTCTGCAAGTATAAACTTTAACCCAGAGAATACATAGTCCTCACACTGGTCATTGCATCATGTAAGGAGGGGATATGCACCCATTAAAATTGGTCTGTTATATAATAATAATAATAATAATAATAATAATAATAATAATAATAATAATAATAATAATAATAAGTTGGAAGGGACCTTGGAGATCATCTAGTCCAACCCCCTGCTCAGGCAGGAAATCCTATACCATTTCAGACAAATGGCTGTCCAGTCTCTTCTTAAAAACTTTCAGTGTTGGAGCATTCACCGCTTCTGGAGGCAGGTTGTTCCATTGGTTAATTGTTCTAACTGTCAGGAAGTTTGTCCTTAGTTCTAGGTTGCTTCTCTCTTTGGTTAGTGTCAGAAGTAAGTCTTCATCCTGGTTCATCCAAGCCGGGGATAAATAAGCAACATGGCGACTGCTTTGGGAAGAAGGTTACAGTTTATTGAAGAAGCAGAAAGATGGTTCTTCAGGAAAGAGCAGAGGAGAGAAAGGGCTGAGCACATGGGCAGTAGGTTTTTATACCCTCTCTAGCCCTGTTTGGAATAGTTTCCTGTTCCTGTGGCATGAACCTTGAGGATATCTCTGAGTGTTTTTCTAGGCCTTGATATCTGTGGTTTAATCCTATTATCATATCCTGCTTCCCTGGTGATGGGGCTAATGACTCCTAGAGCTTGGGTGGGGTATGCAGATTTTAAGTCTCTTTGTCTTGACAAACTTTCTGATGGTTTTACATCTGCATTTGTATAGGGCTGGCTCCTGCTTGGGACAGAGACATGGGGGCAAAGTTGGTTTCTGCTTTTTAAAATACTTTTGAGGAAATATATTTTTCTGCCTCTTTTAATATTTCCTTCTCTGGGGGGGGGAGGCTCTGACTTCCCACATTAGTTTCCATCCGTTGCTTCTTGTCCAAGAGCAAATACAGAGGGGCCAAGGAGCCAAAATGAATGCTTCAAAGCCCAGACGTTGCTGGCACTGATCAGACATCTTTCCATTCTGAACTCCGTAGGTGCACCTACTTTAGAACAGATGTTGAGCAAACAGTAACAGTTTTATAGTGCCTATAACACAAATTCAAACCTTTCTCCTAATGAGAGCATTGAGCACAGGAAGATCTGATACGAAGCTGTAAAAATGTTCTGATACGCTGCCCCCTCCACTGGATTGCCCAACAGTGCTTAAAGCAGCATCTGTTCTACATTAGCAACTCTAGCCCCCTGGTGGAAATGGCTTAGGATATCTGATATGTTCCCCGAGTAGCATAGCTGGTGGTTTGTCAACAGAAAGAAATGGAAAGGAATTCAATTGTATGAAACGAACATTTTAAAATCAGGTTTATAAATGGCTGACAAGAAAAGCGGTGGCCTCTGATTGGGTTTGCCCTGATTTCATTATTATAGTGATTAAATCTAACCAGTATAAAGAAGTATTGCTGCGTATATGATTATTCTGATATATGGAGAAATTTGGCTGTTAGCCTTTCTTACCCTTTTTTCCCTGTTTAAAATGTATTTCTGGTCTTCTTGGTTATGTGATTTTAACCAATCAGATAGGTTTCTCTTCTCTTTTGCCCCTACGTCTCTATTCAGACCTATCCCTCACTTCTCAGGCTCTTGTCAAAACCCCTTTTCATAATCTACCCAAATCCAGGACTTCTTAAAAACAAATGTTGTACCTTATGCAAATATGCAGACATGCATTCCACAATGGAAATGCAGGCTACCACTTGTTCTGGGTTTTACCCTTTTTTTCATTCCCCAGTAAACACATAAGTGTACCCTATGATCCAAGCCACTGGAATACTTCTCACCTTGATTCATTGAGATCATTCATTTGAAACACTACTAGAAAGAGCAGATCTTTTGAATGCAGCATTGTCAGAGTTGGTTTCCAGGTTTCCCATATTTGTCCAACATTTCTACTAGGTATCAAAGCAATAGATAGGTGACTTAAATTGTTTGGTTGTTTAGAGTTCCCATGTGAATGTAGAAATGAAATAATTTAGATTATTGGTGCAAAATCCTTCATACACAGTTTAAGTCAACGCTTCTGTTTTCGTGCACTGGGTGAATGCTTTAAAACAGGGGTGTCAAACTCAATTTCATTGAGGGCTGCATCAGCATTGCGGTTGCCCTCGGGGGGCCGGCTGGGTGTGGCCAGGGTGGGTGCGGCCTACTGGGTGGGCGTGGATGGAGTGGGTGTGGCCTACTGGGTGGGCATGGCCAGCTCTACATAGTTCACGCCAAGGGTGCCTGTGGGGGCCTGGGCAGGAGTGGGACAGATCTGAGGGTCTCTGGCACAAGGGGGTGGGACCGGGGCAAGTGCCAAGGCATGGTCTATTTCTTCATTCCTCACAAAAGGTGACACCTCCCCAGCATGCACCCAGGGGGCGGGGCTGACGCAGTAGGGGCTGGTTCCTCGCTGTTTCTAGATGGCCTTATGGAGCTAAGACTGAATGCGTTTCAGAATAGATGGTCACCACAAAATTGTACATTGGCTCTCAGCCGGCCTGGGCCAGGGCCAAGGCAGCGGGGGCCGTTCCCTCACTGTTTCCAGGATGGCTTCACGGGCCACATGAAACCACTTCGTGGGCCGCATCCGGCGCCCGGGCCTTGTGTTTGACATGTCTGCTTTAAAACTTCACCTTACATAATGAGAAATATCACATCATTAGAAATTAGACCTCACAATTCTCATGGTGATGCCCCAAGCAAACTGGTCCTACTTGGCAAGAAGCTTTGACAGTTCTTTTCTAAAACATATATTGTGTGTTTTGTTGTGATACTTGACACTTCGTGAGATCTCCAAGAAGAGAGATAGAACAACTGTTTTATTTTTGTTTTCAAGTAATGACCCGGCGACAGAGGGAAGCCAAGAGTAAGCTTGCCAGCTGCAAAAAAACCTCACAATCTGTAGACATTGACAAGTAAGTAGGTATGCTCTATATAGTCCATTTTGACGATTTTCAATTGGAGCCCTGGTAGATATTTCTGTTACATAAAACTCTGAAGCTTTGATAGATTCACTCATCATTCTGTGTCCAAGAAGCATCTTGTAATAGGAAAGACCACCTCAGTCTTACCTATTTTTTTACCTTTCCTTCTAGTTGGGCTTGCCTAGGTTTTACATTCTTTTTAGAACGCCTAATTCAGCATTGTCTACCCACAGCAGTGCTTCTCAATCTCATCCACTTTAAAATGTACAGACCAATCCATGCTGGCTGGGGAATTCTGGGAATTAAAATCCACACATCTGAAAGTGGATGAGATTGAGAAACACTCGCCTAGGGAATGTTGATGTGCTGCTAGTTAAACACATTCATTGCCGTCTCCCCTTTTAATTGCATTATTAAACCCATAATGTGATTGAAACAATACTTATAAAACTCTATTCACAATGGCAAAGGTGGATTCCCAGCTTTAATAATCTAGCTCTGGAATCTGCCAGGACTGTCATGTAAATGTAGCAATATTCCTTGTACTGATTGTGTCTGCATAATTCAGACTGTAGAAATGTAATAATATAAAGATAAAGGTAAGAAATAGAACTAGTATTCAAGCACAAATGCCAGTTTGGCCATTACGATACCATATTTCATGTGAGTTTGAGTGTCTTTAAATCTCTGCTTGCCATTCCACATTGTAACAAATGTACCCGTTGTCGTCTCACAGCTGTTTTCAGTGTTGGAGGAAATTATATATTCCTGCAGTGAGGGTGTTTCAGCATGGTGGAAACATGCAAGTCCCCTGAGCATTAAAAATAATAATAAAGGGAGATCTTAAAACTGTGGATAGCAAGCCAAACAGAGACCACAAGCAAATTCCTGTAGCACTACTGTTCTTAAAGGTATTTTTGGTCCTGGGACAAAATCACACAATTTGTTTTGGTCTTGCACAGGCTGACAAAGGCAATAAATATCAAGGCAATTTGCAAAGTTCTGCAAAGCAGCCAAACCGTCAGCCATAGGAAGTTACCTTAAACCGTGCTCTAAGAGCAGCGTAGGTTGGAAAAGTAGATTAATTGGTGTGCATATCTACATGTTTCTATCAGAACAAAGCTATGATAGAGAAGATTAGCAGGTCTGGTGCCTTACCTGTGGTTACACTGTTAATGAAATTAAGGAATTCAAATGAAACCGGTTTTGTTTAATCTTTCTTATTGCTGTCCTCCCCCCACCTGTTCACCCAGAAAGAGTTTGTCAGTAAAAATCCTGCCTGAAAATAATGTTGCTGCTACAAACACTGGATGGCAACATAACTAATAGAATTAGGCTAATTATAGAGAGGACAGCTTCTGTTTAGTCACATTATCTTGGTAATCAGCAGGGACTGGAAAGAAAATATGGAAAAGTACTGCGGGATTTAGCATCAAGGGGGCTCCTCAGACACATTCCAGATATCATTGTGCAGCAAATTTCACTGGATTTTTCTAGTTCCAGATCATCAATTAAGCAGCCACCTCCAGTTCCATTTCTGCCCTCCTGTGCCAAGGGGGCGGGGGGGGGGGCAGATTGGCTGCTTGGATATGGTTAGATTGTTTAGCAGGGGAATTATGGGACACAGTTGAGTTAGTTGGAGTGATCTGAGAGTTGGTAGAGGCTGGTGTTTTACCATATTCTTGAGCTCCAAATGTTCAATGCTTCTTTGTCAGTACCGCACGCTTTAAAAAGGAAATTGTGCCCTGGCAGATTTATTAGTTAGATGACTTCATTTAGACTGAGAAAAACATGTCTCTGACTTAATACACTTGATTTGCTTTTTGGGGCACAGAATAACTCCAATTTTGCAAAAGCAGATACTTCATTCAACTGAGTTGACAGGTTCTGAAAGGAAATCAGTATTGTTTGAGATAGCTAGAGGAGCTGATTTCATTACATCCCATTGCTGCAGTAGCAGCACCCAGGAAAGCAGTTGGAAGAAAACTGCTAATCATTCTATCCTTTTTGACTAGGCAACAGGCCAGTTTTACAGTACAGTATCGGTCACATCACTGTGCAGATCCTGTTCCATTGACAAGTCTTACCTACAGAACAGCTAGAAGCAGCAAAAATGAAAAAGAATGAATTCTAATGCAATTCTTTCCTTCCTTATTTGGCAGGCATGAGAAGTGTTATCTTTGTAAATCTCTAGTGCTAAGGAAAGAGTATCAGAGCCATGTTGATGGTTGTCTTTGTAGCCGGAAGGTTGATGGAACCCAGAGTCATAAGAGGCTGCGGCATGCAAAAGTAAGGATCTGTATTCTTGGTTCACACTTACAGGGATAGACCAGCAGATCTACTCTTGTCTTTGTTTATATCCTTTTCTGAAGAGAGATTGCGTCTTCCTGATTCTCCAACCTCATAAATAAGCTTGGCTGCATTGAAAAAAAAATACACTCTGGCTGTTTGACTTGATTTTAAATGATGAGATTACATCTCAACTAGAATATCAGTCCACAGCCCTATGGATGTTGGTTGATTTCAAATCCCATCAGTTCCATTCACCATGATCAATGTTCAGCAGGAAGGCAAGGATAGGGGGAAAAACCAACCAACAGACTGAATGAGGAAGGAAATCCTCCCAGAATTGTAACCTTTGCCATCTCAAGGAATGGCCTTTGATTCACAAACAGTATGTCTTCAGAAACTGCAACATTCACAAGAATACTGATAATGAGCATGTTTACAATGCTTCCCATTCAATGTCGGATGCAGTGTCAAACTCTTAGAATAACAGTCAACTTGTTGGGAATTTACACTTTTCAAAGCTAAATGTTCTGCATTACGAAGTATTCTCTTTCTGGATACAGGGACTCCTAGATTCCTGAATACTCCTTATAGGTTGTAAAAAAAATTTGTCAGTCAAAAGTATATCTACACTTATCTTGAAACTCAGTAAACCTATATAAGAACCTGGTTTACCAGTCAGTGGTAGTCTCTTAACTGCAAGAGACCAGTGGCTCACTGTAACTTGCTAGCTTTAATAAAATATTTGCTGAATCCTCTCCAGTTGTGACTGGAGTTGTGCTCTTAGATGAAGTCTGCATCCACTGTATTGTATTTATGGATTATTATTTTTTTGTACTGGGCTATAGAGTGGATCTTTTCCCATTTGAATCCTGCCTTTTTTTCCCATGAAAGGAAAAACGAAATAGTTGTGTGGTTCCTTTTCTTTAACATCATTCGGTATTCTTGAACTAGAAGAACCCTGAACCACTGTTGGCATCAATAACTTAGCCTTTGTTGCTTGCATAGAATATACATGTATTTATTTATAAATACTTTTTAATGTGGTGTTTTAATCAAAGTCATTTTGAAATGTTTGTGAAATTAAAGCGTGTAGCTTTTGCTGTTCTTCCCATCTTTGTAGCTATGTTTAATTTCACAATCTGTGCAAAACATGTACCTGCTTCCCCTTCAATTTTCCATGCTCCTCTATCTAAAATGCTGCAGCACAGTATTCTCTCCACCTCTGAGAGATGCATTGCAGCCATGGTGGGGTGTTTTGAGTGAGATGAATAATGAGAAATGTCTGTTTTATTTTAATTATTCCAGCTTCATTCCCCAGGTAGGTCGTTCTTTCTTTTGAGAAACATTTTTGTGGAATACTTGGCTATTCACATGGCCATCCATTGTTTATATGTTCACCCATATTGATCCGTACCTTACAAATCCCGCATTATGAATGTGCTTTCTATTCTACTTGTACAATGATTCGCTTACTATCTCACAATATTATTTTTCTGTTTGTGATCCTTTATGTCCAACTTCTTGGCAGAGAGAAAAGGACATAATTGGTAAATGCAAATGTTTTTGTAAAGTCTAACAGTATTTCCCTGCTCAGAATTGCTATCTTGAACAAAAATGACCTCTGCCTACAATATTACTGTCACACCAGAGTGCAGAATTGAGCCTTACTGGTGGACAACAGGTAGTAAGACAAAGTCTGTGCTAATTCTTTTCCTTCGGTATACTTGGAACTCTTTCCAAACACTATAGTAACTCTTTGTATTTCATCCTATGTCAGGCATACCAGTGCAGTTGATAAGGAAGCAGTAGCAGAGATAATGAATTTGTAGGGAGCCTAATGCATGTACTCTGAGTGAGCCACTAGATCAGTGATGGCAAACCTTTTAGAGACTGAGTGCCCAAACTGCAACCCAAACCCCACTTATTTATCACAAAGTGCCAGGGCTGCATCAGCATTGTGGTGCCCTCAGGGATGGCGGGTGTGTGTGGCCCACTGGGTCATTGTGGTCACGGCAGACTAGGTGAGCGTGGTTGGGGCCAGTCCCTCGCCATCTCCGGGGCATCCCCGGGGGGCCAACGCCGCTTGCTCGCTCACTTCCTGCCCTGTCGCTTCCAAATGCCACGTGCTAACTACTCTGGTGAACTCTGCTGGGGCAACGGCGTGCGTGCCCACAGAGAGGGCTCTGAGTGCCGCCTCTGGCATGCGTGCCATAGGTTTGCCACCACTGCACTAGATGCTACAGAAATAAATGTAAAATAAAAGGCATAAAGGAAGGGGAGGCAAACATATATATTTTTAAAAAGATAGTATAAAAAGAAGGAAGGGAATAGGACTCACTCATGGGAGTGATTGAAGACAGCTGGATTTGGAGACACTGAAAGTCTTAGTGGGTAGGTCAGAGCTGGAAATTACTGCAGAGGAAGGAAAAAAACACTACAGTCAATAAAACTACAGTCAGCTAACTTGAAAATAAATTATTTGCAAAAAAAACACCACCCCATATTCATGGAAAGATGAACCATAGCCGAGAAAGACATATTGTAGTTCAAAAAGTAAGTGTACATTTGCCCTATATCAGTGATGGCAAACCTTTTAGAGACCGAGTGCCCAAAGTGCAACCCAAAACCCACTTATGCATCATCAGGTGCCAGGTGGGCGTGGCCCATTGGGTGGGTGTGGCCTATTGGGGGCATGGCTGCGGTGGTAACGGCAGACTGGGTGGGATTAAAAAGTTCAATCAATCAATTCCAACTTTGCAAGATCTTTTTTTTCCCCCGCGAGAAGTTGAAATTGACTGATTGATTGAACCTTTTTTTTTTTCACATGGCGGCGGAGGCCTAAAGCTAAAAGGTTTTATAAAACCCAGCTGAAGGCCTAGGACTGGGGAGACGGTGTGTGTGCCCACAGAGAGGGCTCTGAGTGCCGCCTCTGGCACCCGTGCCATAGGTTCGCCACCACTGCCCTATATCTACTACTTAAAATATGGTGTGTCTGGAGACCTGTTCATATATCGCAGAAGGAGGAATGAAAGAGCATACAGTTGATCACCATTAGGGGGAAAAATGCAAATAGTTATTTGTGAAACATAGACATCACTGTGTACAGCCGCTGATTCTGAATCATTTGCTAAGCCCTTGCTGGCTATAGCCCTTAGGTTTCAGCTATGTTTCCTTCCGTCAGCTATTGCCAACCTTAATCTACGATCAAGGTGTCAAATTTGTCTAGCCGATTAATTCACGCAATTCATCCATTCAATTCCCACATGGTTTAACTCCGGGCATGACAGGAGTGCATCAAGTCCTGGTCCTCGTCCCCTCTCTAAGTTGTGCATGGTTGCTGCCTTACATGCATTACCCATCTTGTGCAGCAAAGGCCTACATGTAGCCTTTGTGCTGATTTATTTCAGATGGTAAGATTTTAATCCATAGAGCAGTGTGAATGCTAAGGCAATGTGATTTCTCAGCAGGAAGATGCAACATGATGTCTCTGTTTTATGTAATCCCTTAAATCCATCACAGGCCCTGGCCCCTCAGGAATTTATATGCAAATGGCAAGACTGCCTGTTGATGAGTTTAGCTGGGACACAGCCAAACATTCTGCATTTTCTTGCGCAATGGGAAGCTTCTGTTCATGTCACTAGCTTTGGTTCAGAATTCTTTTTCGTTTTTTTCTCCACGGAAGAACTTGGCTGATGTTTAAAACAATCGCCAGAAATGTTAACGTGACTTTTTGGCACCTAAGGCCCAGGTCCTCCCTGTGCTTTTCAAAATCAACACAAATGATTTCTGCTGCTTCNCCCTGAGATACTGGAACACTGCTATCATGTCCCCCCTCGTCCTTCTCTTCATTAAACTAGACATACCCAATTCCAGCAGCCGTTCCTTATATGTTTTAGCCTCCAGTCCCCTAATCATCTTTGTTGCTCTTCTCTGTACTCTTTCCAGAGTCTCAACATCGTTTTTACATCGTGGTGACCAAAACTGGATGCAGTATTCTAAGTGTGGCCTTACCAAGGCATTGTAAAGTGGTATTAACAGTTCACGTGATCTTGATTCTATCCCTCTGTTAATGCAGCCCAGCACTGTGTTGACCTTTTTGGCAGCTGCAGCACACTGCTGGCTCATATTTAGGTGATTGTCCACTAGGACTCCGAGGTCCCTCTCACCATGTTTAACAATTCTTCCCTCATGATTACTGTGTGTGGCTAGGGAGGACAGAAGAAAGGAAGATTGCCTTTTTGTGACAGGGAACTTTTACCATCTAGTGCCAGCTCTAACAAAAATGTGGCTGTTGGTTTGTTGTTGCTCATTTACATAAATATATGTAAGCTTGAGAGTATAGTGGTGAAACATAGGTGGCTTTGTATTTTGGGGGCCCGAAGCCAGCTCACTAGGTCAACATTACTAAAGTGCAGATATGATAAAATGAAAAAAAAACTTGGGGTAGTGACGAGAAAGCTGGTCTTTGTTCTGGGCAGCCACAAGATGTCCAGAGTTCTGCTTCTGTCTCTGGGTGGTTCTTATAAGATGCTTTGTCAAAAGCCTTCTTGTGCAAAACCTAATGGGGACATTCTCTTACTTTGTTCTAGGAGAAAGGAAGGTGTGAAGGCCGGTTACTGAGTATGCTAGAACAATCTGAAAACAAGGCTGCAGGTAGGAAAGTTAGCACCCAGCCAGCATTCCTGTATTGACGCAATCTAGGTTGAGTCACAGGAACAGGCTTGTCCTTAAGCGATACAGTATAGCTCCTGGGCCACTACAAATGGATAGTCTTTGTGTTTCTTCCCATTGCATGTATATCAGTTCCAAGTTAAACATTTGTATAACAGGATTTCTCTTGACTTTAATGAAGACGAGAATCACTCCTGGGAGTCTCCGTGAGATAATATTAGGTGATTGTGTGTATTTTACAATACGACAAGAGAAGCCCATTGTGCTCCTTTTCCTTGTATCATATAAAGGTTTGTATTAGAGAAAACTGCAAGTCCAAATAACGCATAAATTGCCCCATATCGCCCACCAAGCTGGAAAGGAGGGTATTGTGTAGAACAGTGGTTCTCAACCTTTTTAATGCCGCGACCCCCAACCGGTCGTAAGTTGAGGACTAAACCGGTCGTACGTCGAGGACTAAACCGGTCGTAAGTCAAGGACTACCCAACCGGTCATAAGTCGAGGACTTTCCCTGCCCGGGAGCGCTGTGCATGCGTGGTTCCGCCCCCTGCGCCGGCCGAGGCGTAGCTGGCAAGCGGCAGAGACAGAGCAGGCCGACCACCAGCTGGCCCAGCTCAAGGGAGGTAAGGCACCCGCCGGAAAAGGAGGAAAAAAATGGAGGACAGCCTTGCTTGGCGACCCCCGTGAAATGGTCAATCGACCCCAAATGGGGTCGCGACCCATAGGTTGAGAACCACTGGTGTAGAATGTGTTTACTACCAGATGGCTGCAGTTTCTCTGCTTGCCCACTAGAATGAGTCTTGCTGATCTCGAAACAGAAGCCATCATCAACCTTGCTTGAAGTAATTAAGATTCTGTGGTGTATTATATTCCAGATGCAGAGATGGCTGCTCCACCATCCAGAAGAGAAGACTCAAGGTTAGTTAGTGCTCTTTCTGTATTATAGGCTTTTTCGGTGGTTAAATGGGCTGCAGCAACACTCCTTGTCACTTATTTCCAGTGCTGTTTTTTTTCAACGAAGTGGAAAAGCTAAACGAAATTAAGAAATCCTGTAGGAAGCTAGTTTTTAGCATTGAAGGCAAAGTCTACTCCTTCTGTTGTAATGCAGTTAAACAATGTTTTTTTTTTTTCCTTAGAACCAAAACCTGAGTTACATTAGACAGGAGATTTCTTTTCTTAAACTTATGGAGGGCATATGGTGAGTGGAAAAATATGTTAATTTGCTGTAAGTTTATTACTCATAAACAAATTGACAACTCCTTATCTCGGTCTTTTGCAGTCTGTATTCAGGCCTCATTTGGAGGCTGAAACTGCTTTGACCGTCAAGATGGGTGGCCTATATTAGGAAGGGTTTCCTTATTAATTCTTCTGAATCTCTCTGCAGTTTTTTTTAATACCATCCATTTGACTGGAGCAGCGCTTTGTAATGGTGTTTTTCTTTCTCTGGTATAATTCCAGAAACCAATACTTCTCCTTAACTGCTTGACTTTTAATCTGTGGATCTGCTCTCTGCTTTAAATACTCCTAAGCTACAGTGGCACATTAGTTTGCATATTATCAATATACCGATAAAGTACAACTTAGTCCAGAAACCTGCTAGATAACTACAAAGTGTTATATGAAACACCTTTCTTTGCTGCCATTTAATAACAATAATTTTTGTGTCTTTTTTACTGTCATATAATGGTTGTCAGGATTTTTGCAGCCTGGATATGGAATGCTTAGCAACATGTACTATGTGAATTGCTTAGACCATTCAGAAACTATAGTTGGTACAGACTGCATTAATCAGATTTGTATATTTGGTATGCTGAAAACTGCATATTATTGTTGGTTCGCATNGGCCATTGTAGGGGTCTGAGAGCCAACACCTCGTCCATCTTCAGTCACTTCGCCCTCGTTAAAGACTGGCCAGCAAGAGGGGGCGTGTCAAGTTTGACTACTTGGTCTCAAGAGCAGGCATCCAATGAAAACCCATATGTGTGAATTCTCCATCTCCGTACTGAGAAAAGGCGTTCAGGTAAGACAACGCCCCTTTTGTTCTGGGCAGCCACAAGATGTCCAGAGTTCTACTTCTGTCTCTGGGTGGTTCTTATGAGATGCTTTGTCAAAAGCCTTCTTGTGCAAGACCTAATGGGGACATTCTCTTACTTTGTTCTAGGAGAAGGGAAGGTGTGAAGGCCGGTTACTGAGTATGCTAGAACAATCTGAAAACAAGGCTGCAGGTAAGAAAGTGAGCACCCAGCCAGCATTCCTGTATTGACGCAATCTAGGTTGAGTCACAGGAACAGGCTTGTCCTTAAGCGATACAGTATAGCTCCTGGGCCACTACAAATGGATAGTCTTTGTGTTTCTTCCCATTGCATGTATATCAGTTCCAAGTTAAACATTTGTATAACAGGATTTCTCTTGACTTTAATGAAGACGAGAATCACTCCTGGGAGTCTCCGTGAGATAATATTAGGTGATTGTATGTATTTTACAATAAGACAAGAGAAGCCCTTTGTGCTCCTTTTCCTTGTATCATATAAAGGTTTGTATTAGAGAAAACTGCAAGTCCAAATAATGCATAAATTGCCCCATATCGCCCACCAAGCTGGAAAGGAGGGTATTGTGTAGAACAGTGGTTCTCAACCTTTTTAATGCCGCGACCCCCAACCGGTCGCAAGTTGACTAAACCGGTCGTAAGTCGAGGACTAAACCGGTCGTAAGTCGAGGACTACCCAACCGGTTGTAAGTCGAGGACTTTCCCTGCCCGGGAGCGCCGCGCATGCGTGGTTCCGCCCCCTGCGCTGGCCGAGGCGTAGCTGGCAAGCGGCAGAGACGGAGCAGGCCGACCACCAGCTGGCCCAGCTCAAGGGAGGTAAGGCACCCACCGGAAAAGGAGGAAAAAAATGGAGGACAGCCTTGCTTGGCGACCCCCGTGAAATGGTCAATCGACCCCAAATGGGGTCGCGACCCATAGGTTGAGAACCGCTGGTGTAGAATGTGTTTACTACCAGATGGCTGCAGTTTCTCTGCTTGCCCACTAGAATGAGTCTTGCTGATCTCGAAACAGAAGCCATCATCAACCTTGCTTGAAGTAATTAAGATTCTGTGGTGTATTATATTCCAGATGCAGAGATGGCTGCTCCACCATCCAGAAGAGAAGACTCAAGGTTAGTTGGTGCTCTTTCTGTACTATAAGCTTTTTCGGTGGTTAAATGGGCTGCAGCAACACTCCTTGTCACTTATTTCCAGTGCTGTTTTTTTCAACGAAGTGGAAAAGCTAAACGAAATTAAGAAATCCTGTAGGAAGCTAGTTTTTAGCATTGAAGGCAAAGTCTACTCCTTCTGTTGTAATGCAGTTAAACAATGTTTTTTTTTTTTTCTTAGAACCAAAACCTGAGTTACATTAGACAAGAGATTTCTTTTCTTAAACTTATGGAGGGCATATGGTGAGTGGAAAAATATGTTAATTTGCTGTAAGTTTATTACTCATAAACAAATTAACAACTCCTTATCTCGGTCTTTTGCAATCTGTATTCAGGCCTCATTTGGGGGCTGAAACTGCTTTGACCGTCAAGATGGGTGGCCTATATTAGGAAGGGTTTCCTTATTAATTCTTCTGAATCTCTCTGCAGTTTTTTTTAATACCATCCATTTGACTGGAGCAGCGCTTTGTAATGGTGTTTTTCTTTCTCTGGTATAATTCCAGAAACCAATACTTCTCCTTAACTGCTTGACTTTTAATCTGTGGATCTGCTCTCTGCTTTAAATACTCCTAAACTACAGTGGCACATTAGTTTGCATATTATCAATATACCGATAAAGTACAACTTAGTCCAGAAACCTGCTAGATAACTACAAAGTGTTATATGAAACACCTTTCTTTGCTGCCGTTTAATAACAATAATTTTTGTGTCTTTTTTACTGTCATATAATGGTTGTCAGGATTTTTGCAGCCTGGATATGGAATGCTTAGCAACATGTACTATGTGAATTGCTTAGACCATTCAGAAACTATAGTTGGTACAGACTGCATTAATCAGATTTGTATATTTGGTATGCTGAAAACTGCATATTATTGTTGGTTCGCATTAGTAACTAGTAGAATATTTCCCCCCATACAAATTGGCATGCTCCTGCATTTACATTGGTAGCCTTCATCTCAATTAGGTCAGTGGAAGTCAGTGGATTGATTAAAGCACAAAACAAGGCATTCTCTGCCATGCTACTGGGATTATGTAAATCTCCCCTGGCAAACCCCATTGACTTTTTATTTATTGGAAGTCAGATAGGCTGTTTCAATTTTTTTGTTTGTTTGTTTTATTGTGCTTTTGTATCTTTGCTCAGTTTTTGAAGTCAGGTTTCTCTTATTTTGATGTTATTAAATATGTGATTTAGATAGTTTCAGTTATAAATTCCTTTGTGTACTTGTATATTTTTTAAAATTACAATATTGAAAGTGAGAAAGCTATGAAAGAGTTCACTGTGCAGCTGGGAAGCCCAGTTCATTTTTTAAAAATATCCTCTCTGTTAGGCCCAGCTCAACAGAAATGGACAAGGAAACAGAGGGCAACCAGAATTCAGAAAGATTCTTCCCTCAAGGACCCTGCAGTGACTCTCCTATTAGATCATTCACTTCCATTTCTGAAGCCAAAGACTGCCTAGTGGACTTTAAAAAACAGATGGTGATTAAGCCACGCACTTGGAAACAGACCAAAGCCAGCCATCGGAAGCAAAAGAAGTGCTGAGGGTGGCATCATGGAGAAGACACCAAAATATGGACTCTACTGAGCCTACTTGGCAGAGACCTCTCAGCTCCCTAATCAGCTCTGCTCCCTACTCATTCTTCTGTTAATTTTTGTATGAATTCTCCTAGAATTTGTCATGTATCGACTAAGCGTGTACTCTATAGGTGCCTATTCAACCTTCCTTTGCAGTTAGACAATAAAATGAAATATATTTATTATGTTTTTATAAACTTCAATTTCTGCTCTTTATGATTTTTTTTTAATACACGTATTTTTAGCCGAAAGACTGCATTGCAACTTAAGTAAACCGTTAAATGCTGGTCACCAATCTGGGACCCATCTCCCAGAATACTGCAAAAAGACCAAAATTGTGCGCTTTCATGTTCTATTACTGGGAAGATTTCATTCTCCTATTTAAAAATGTATTTAACTTTGACTAGAGAGCCTGCACTAATTCCCACAGAACTGAAGGAGTCTGCAGAGTGATGAATAAAAAAAAAGCCCGGCTTGCGTGGCCTTCTGTCCTATGGGAGCAGGGATGACATCTTTTAAACCGAAACTGGTAAACATGGAAGACAGGTGTCGGAGGAGAAAGGGCATTAGGTTTTTCTGTTTGATCAGGATAACCCATTTCTGGATTATTTCCTGGTCCAAGCTGCTTAAGGACATTAATATATATATATATATGTGTCCTACTCATCCAGCCATGAGGTTATGCTGTGATGTGGTGCATGAAGATGGAGAGAAATGGCACGGTGCATGAAAAATCAGACCAGGGATCAGATAGGGTCCTAAAGCAGCCTGTGGTAAGCTCTGAGTTATATAACACCCAACATCTACATGAGACTGTGGTATTAATACTGCAGTGATCCTCAATCTCTTACCCTCGCTCCCTGATCTGCTACGGTTTTAATATTAATTGAAGGCCATATTTGCTGGATGCAACACAGAATGTAATTTATTCAGTCCTTGTCCGAAAGTGCTTTGAATTGAAAAATTGGGCCCAAGGGTGCTTAACACAGCTGAAGCTTGCCCCTGGGTGTTCTGTTGCTACCTAATGGTTTCATATTCCTACCAAGTACAGTGCATTCTTAAGACTATTCTGTTTTGATGTGGAGGTTATGCTATTGCGAGAGCTCAAGGGCAGGCCACAGGTAACAGTAATTACACATAAAGCAGAGATCTCTGTCTCTAAATCAGGTTAGAGGCCAGAGAGAACAAAAGGCTGGATGTCATGTTCTCTTAATGCAATTTCATTTTATCTACTATGAAAATGCTGGCACTGACACCGACTGCAGAAGAAAGGGTTTTTGCTGGCCTAGAGGTGTGCAGAAAAAGGCATCTGTGTCATAACAACACCTTGGAAATGCAGAAGAGAAAGGAAGGGTCAGAAGAGCTTCCTTATCAGCACGCCACACAAACAGAAACAATATACAAGTTAGGTTGGTTTTATCTTCGCCTGTTTTATTTTCTCAGTATTTCTAGCGCTAAAGCTACTAAACTAGGAAAGTAAGGTTTCATTTGGAAATATGCATCTCCAGTTATTATTTGTCCTGGGTACTTACTAGCATTCAGGATCACAATTCGTACGCCTTTAAAACAAATTGAATTAAATGAAAAATGTTGCTTGGCTGCACCATTTCAGGTTGTAGATGGGGAGTAGGTTGCACATTAAAATGATGGTATGTTCAAATACAAAAACCTCTCATAATGTAGATGGAGGATGGAGGTTTAACCAAATCTTAACATAGTTAAGATATGAATTGAGCAAATAATGCAAAATTCATGCAGGAACCTTTTCCCCATAGTCCATGGCAAAGTTTTTCAAACATTTTCAGGCTGCAGAACTTGTAAAAAAAATTGCTGAACCCCAATCAATAGGAGACCTCTAGTGACAGAAAATAGCTGTGTTTAAAGGAACTTTCTTTCTTGCCTTTAGTCTCTCACAGGACTTCAGTCAAATTCTTCTGGCACCTGGAACATTTTTAAAAATTCTGATCTAAGATAGTGATGGACAACACTGTAATGCCGGGGGGGGGGGCTGTTCGGTTTAAGAAGAACTGAAGATCATGTGTGGGGACAGTGGTGGGGGCATAGGAAAGATAGGAGCTTTGAAATGCTTTTTCCCCTTTTGGCAAGATCAAGGCTTTCCTGTCCTTTTGTGAGTTTGTTTTAGGACAGCGGTTCTCAACCTTTTTAATGCCGCGACCCCCAACCGGTTGTAAGTCGAGGACTAAACCGGTCGTAAGTCGAGGACTAAACCGGTCGTACGTTGAGGACTACCCAACCGGTCGTAAGTCGAGGACTTTCCCTGCTTGGGAGGGCCGCACATGCGTGGTTCCGCCCCCTGCGCCAGCCGAGGCATAGCTGGCAAGCGGCAGAGGCGGAGCAGGCCGACCACCAGCTGGCCCAGCTCAAGGGAGGTAAGGCACCCGCCGGAAAGGGGAAAAAAATGGCCGACAGCCTTGCTTGGCGACCCTCGTGAAATGGTCGATCGACCCCAAATGGGGTCGCGACCCATAGGTTGAGAACCGCTGTTTTAGGACTTAGTCCTACGTTTATTTGCTCAGAGTGGCAAGAAACCATAGTACTGACCCTCCCTGCTTTCAGGGCTGCGGGCAAGGAAAAACGTCACCTCTTCAATCTGGAGAACGCATTAACAGCTAGTCCTGAGACGGCAATTCCTTTTACAAGGAACGTCATCTAGTGAGCTCCCTGGAACCTCACTGGTTTGAACTGTGGAGCTTGCTACTTTAAGCTGACAAACCTTGGCAACGAAATGAAACGCAACTTTAAAAAGAGACTGGATTCTGATACAGGGCACTTAAATTCCAAAGCACTTCTTTCCCAGTTAACACGCCAAGTTGAAATGTTGCCAAGATCTTTCCCTGATTTCATCAAAGAAACCATGTGTTCTCGGTGCAACAGCATCTACCCACCCTCCTGGTTTCTTCCTTGTTAACTGTCAGTCTGTTGCTGGCATGTCCCTGGAAACAAAGGCTCTTGTTTATCTTTTCAACGGGTGACAAGGCAAGCAAAGAACAAAATAACTTTCTCACAAGCTTGGCCGTCACCAGAGTCTAGGATGAGTTCAAGGAAATGCCACAGGAATATGCATGGCAGACTTGCGAGTCTATCAGCAGCCATTCTCTTTATGCAAGACCAACAGAGTCCCAGGGTCACCTTGGGACAGAGCAGCCTGTCTTTTTCTCAGAGAATCTATTACCATTCTGCACTGTGGCTTGACTGGAGTATTTTATTAAGGGTACTTGAGAGCAGTGAGCAAACAAGGAGAAAGCCTGCTTGTTAGCTGGGTAGTAACTATCCTTCACAAGCATGATTGTCCCTGTTTTTTGCAACCATGCTTGTGAAGATTTTGTGGGAGGCATGCAGGGTGGTGGACAAGGGAAGAGGTTCTGTGTGTGCTGATACTGCATGTCCTAATGTAAGCTTTCTCTGTTTCCCCAGATATTAGAAATATTGAACATGCTTTAGTAAAATGGCATTCAACTTCAAGCTTTCCAGGGTAGACACAAACACTAAGCTTCTCAGTGTAGACTTGGTCTCAGAAGAGAAGCTTCAGCACTGCAAGCTACCTTTTCAAGGCCAGCAAAGGCTGATTGCCTTTTGCTAAGCAGCTGTTGAACTACATTTGGCTGACAATAGGTTTTTGTGAGTAAATCTTGATAATATAGAAATTCCATTTCCCCTTTGTCCATTTCCCCTATGAAATGCATTTTGGATACATTTGAAGCCAGGGGCCATAAAACCTCCAGCTTTTATAAAGTATAGTACCAAAAGAATGTGTGATTTGTGTGCCACTTCATGATTTTGACAAGTATGTATTAAAATACATAACAATTATTTTCCCCAACTCGGAGCGGTACATACAAAGAATTTTATCTTTGTCTTTGGCTGACCTCAGAATGGTGGGATCAAACAAACATGTCTGAAGTAGATTAATATTTGGACGAGAGACCATGAGGAAATCACAGGGGTGTAGGCAAGAGTAAGAAGTGGAAATATTTCAGAAGTAGGCAGTGCTAACCAACTTCCATATGATTGCCAAGAAAATATCATATATTCATGTAGTCGCCAGAAGTTGAGTTTGATTCAATGAGGCTCTTAAAAAATGACAATAAAGGTTATCTGTCTGTCTGTCTGTCTGTCTGTCTATCTCTTAGCAATTTTTTTGCAGTTAAACTGGAAAAAAAATGATCTATCTATATAATAAATTAGATAACAATGTTACTAATGCCATATCCTTTAATGAAACATGACAGTTGAAACACCAAGCAATCAGCAGCCAAGCAGAAGAAGAGGATATTTCAAGCCAATTAAGGACTTAAAGGAAGCTGGGTAGGAATTGGTACTCCTTATGAGTGAGAGGCCTAACTGGCCAGGCTTTGGCAGAACAACACTGTCAGGACCTTGGATAGCTCAATGCATGAATCCACATTCTGGGTTTATTTTCAACACAGTTGTACTGAGTGATTGTTTCAGCACTGCCTGGGAAGGATGGAGAATTTAGCAAGGTATGGAACACATGTGGAATACAGCTGCTGGAATTATTTATAACCTCCTTACCAGCAGTTGCCACAGGAATGATCTCCACGATCTTCCAGGTCAGGGCTTTTCAACCTTTTCACCGACTGTACCACTTTTAGGATATGGCAATATTCAAGTACTACCTAGCAAGGTGTCAAAAACTTGATGACAAAAAAAAAAACCCTGTTCAAAGTTGCAATTGCACTGAAATGACTTATGACCATTTTTCACACTTATGACCATTGCAGCATGCCCAGGTTCATGTGATTTATATTTGGATGCCTGGCAACTGATTCATATTTATGATGGTCACAGTGTCCCAGGGTCATCTGATCCCCTTTTGCAACCTTTTGACAAGCAAAGTCAACGGCAGGGCTGCTGGTGGCCAAGTGCTAAGGCGAGACTTCCTTCCCTCCTTGCCTCCCTCTTTCTCATTCCCATCTCCTTCTGAAGGAAGAATTTGAAACCTCATATTTTTCCTCTTCCATATATTCATCAAACAAGAAAAAGCCTCCAGAGACAGAAAAGAGAAGCCATTGAGGGAACTAGCTTAAAAAGGTGCATTCCCCTTTAAGAATTAGCTACTGGCTAGAAAGGAAAGTTAAGGAGCACAGCCGGCACTTAAGAAAAAAAATGTAGTAAGTATTGGCTGCCGGCTAAG